AGTCGAGCTGGGTCGACTTATCGGCGTCGATGGCTTTCGCCATAATATCGTTGATGGCCTTAGCCATGTACGTAACTTCGACTGTCGTTGAGTTACTTGCCGTCATAGTCGAGTTGGGTCGACTTATCGGCGTCGATGGCCTTAGCCATAATGTTGTTGGAGATGGCCGTAGCCTTTTACACGTTGAGATAGCCATAGCCGTTTATACATTGGAGATGGCCGTGGCCGTTCATACATTGGAGATGGCCGTAGCCGTTCATACATTTGAGATGGCCGTAGCCGTTCATACATTGGAGATGGCCGTAGCCGTTCATACATTGGAGATGGCCGTGGCCTTTCATACATTGGAGATCACGCTAGTCTAGTCCCTTTGTCATGCCAGTCGAGAGGACGTATGGAGTGGCTGGTATGATAAACTTGTTTCTCAAATATCTCCAGGCGTCCCCTCTGTCGCCTCGTTAAAAACCTCCCCGAGAAAACCCAATTGGGACAAAACCCGGGTAAGGGAAAAAGAGTGCGACTCGGGAGACGCCTTTCAGAAATGGAAATNCCTTAGTCCCCGACACGGCTAATTGCTATGCCTCCGCGCTCGCCCCCTTTACTTGTTGGGTGTGGGCGCAGTCTTGGGCTATTTTGTAGCATTCTTGTGCGGTGCGTGGCTCGCCTCAAATACTGAATACTCCCCATAGGGTAGGGAATTTGATCACTTGGTAAAGGCTTGAAGGGACCGCTCGCATGGTGTGTATCCACGGGCGTCCTATGATGACGTTGTACGCCGTTTCTTGGTTCATCACGTGGAAAGTATTTTCCAGCGTGACTCCTCCCGCTAAGACGGGCAGTGCTATTTCTCCGGACGTCCATTCCACTGCATTGTTAAAACCGGTTAGTTTTATGCAGTGCGGTATTACCCTATCTTCGAGTCCCATTTGTACGAGGACCCTCGGGTGGATAATACAGGCGCCACTTTCGTCGTCAATCATGATTCTTTTAACATCTGTATCAGCGATACGTAAAGTGATAACTAAAGCATCATAATGAGGGAAAGACAAACCGTCGGCATCAGACTTATCGAAGGTGATACTATCTTCGAAGTCGTCATACCGTTCATGGGCGATGGTCCGCTTTAGTTTGTGCGTGGTGGTGAACTTGACGTGATTGATCGCCAAGTCGTCGCCGCCTCCGACGATCATGTTTATCGTGCGTGCTGGGGAGGGTGGCTTCGGCGGCCCGTGGGGTTGTTCCCGTCCGCGTGCAAAGTTGATTTTCCCTTTGTCACTGAGTAATTCCCTCAGGTATCCCTGGTTCAGCATCCTGACCACCTCTTGCAGTAGGCCTATGCAGTATTCGGTTTTGTGCCCCCGTTCTTGATGGACACATTGGACGTTTGATTTCCTTGTGGCGGGGTCTAATTTCATCTTCTGCGGCCACTGCACTTTGGTGCCCAGCTTCTCCAGTGCGTACACTATTTCTGAAGGAGACACACAAAAGTTATGGGCGGATAATAAAGAGGGCGTACCTCTTTCGTTTCGGAGTGGGGCGCATGTCGCTGTAGCGCGTCTGTATGCCTTGGTGGCGGGTGGGAGGATCTGGTGTATGGCTGATGTCGATCTCTGTTAGAGCGGGGGAGTTATTCTCGTCGTCCTTCATTCCGTCGATCTCTCCTCATTTCTGAGTGTATCGCTGTTAGCCGTTGGGTCGGCCCATTAAGATCATCCTCGTCCGCTCGTACCTCGGCGCAATAGGCGTTGTGGATTTCCTCCCATGTGGTAGGGGGATATTTCATGAGGCGGCTCAGCAACTTCTTGGTTGCCCTCGAACTATCCCTGCTTAGCCCGTTCTGGAAAGCGGCGACTGCCATACCTTCCGATACGTTTGGTAGACTCATCCTTACCCTGTTAAACCTTGCCAGGAAGTCCCCGAGTCCCTCTCCTGTAGTTTGCCTGACGGCGAAGATGTCGTTGACCCTGGCCTCCGCTTTCTTCGCGCCTGCATGGGCTGTGACGAACTTATCCGCCATTTCCTCGAATGTTGAAATTGCCTTAGCCGGTAGCTGAGAGTACCATGTTAAAGCCCCTCCTGTCAACGTCTCGCCAAATTTCTTCAGCAGTACCGACGGTACCTGTTCTTTTGATAGGTCGTTGCCCTTCACAGCGATGACGTAGTGGATAAGATGATCCTCGGGATCTGTGGTTCCGTCATATACCCTCAAGTAGGGTGGCATCTTGAAGGTTTTTGGGGTGGAGTAAGGGGCAGCTTCTTCAGTGTATGGTTGTTCAACGAACCTTCCCACGTCGCGTTTTGGTAGCAACTTGGGAGCACCGGGGATCTTGTCGACCCTCTCCTGATGTTCCTTCATCTGATCGCGGAGCGCCTTGTTTTCATTTTCCATTTCTTCCATCTTCTTTAGGATGGCTGTTAGCGTGCCATCGTTGGTCTGTGTCTCGACGGGTTCGTTATTTTCTAGTGCAACTTCCGGTTCACCCACGGCGACAGTGGTATCTACCGTTGGTGTACACCTGATGTTACTTTGTGGTGACCTCTCAACCAAGCCACTTAGAGTGCTTGTTAGCCATCTTTCCAGTAGCTTCTTGACCGCTGGGGGTGCTTCCGTAGCCGCAGATGTGGAAGCTCCTTTTTCGTGCAAGATCGTCAGATCTTCGGATGGGGAAGGTGAGATCTCTGTACCCGGTGTGATGCTAGGGGTTGCATTCAGGGTGCCATCGTCACTGGCCTCGTTGAGAGGGCCAAGGAGATTGGTAGTGACACCCAATATAGCTTTCGATCTTGTGTTATTTTCGGCCATCCTCTATTTTTGTGTGGTGTAGAGAGTGGTAGTTGGTTGATCTCTAGGTGGATACTATGATTTTGATTCTCGAAATCCCCACAGACGGCGCCAAATTGTTTGGCTCAAAAGTTAACAATATACTTTGTAAGCTAGAAAACAATAGCTAGAAAACAATCAAAAGTAAGAAAAGGGTAAATCGTAATCAAATATAATAGACCTAGAGATGTAAAGATGATGTTATTGTTGTAGATCTAGTATTGCAAAGTGATAATATGAACTCAAGAGAATATGTTCGTTTGAGGCAAAGATAGAGAGAGAAAGTCAGAAAATGAGAGAGTTGTCTTATTCCAGAATCCCCCCTTTACAATGTGAAGGTCTCCCTTATATAATAAGAGACCTTCCTCGAAATAATCAAAAAATTACAAAAATAGGTAACGTCTTCCTAGTGAAGACAATGAGTCCTAAACGATGTCGCTTTTGTCTCCACGTCTGAGTCGTACCCACTACGTTAGTCGGCGTACACTTACTGGGCGTACCCACTGGCGTAGAGACGCTGACGGTCAAATTTGACCCTATACAATGTCTAAACTCCGTCATATTTAGAAGGTAGTTCTTTAACGTTTCATTTCAGTCTATTTGTGTTAATTATTAACTTAGCTATATTGAAATTGGGTATTTTGTTTGCATTCGGGGCCCACAATTAGGTAATACATCTATTCCTCCCAAGTGATGAAAAACTCTTAGAGGTCGTTTGGTAGCTGGTTAGAAGAAAAGTTATTCATGTATAAGGGGTAACATAACTTATACCATGTTTGGTAGGCAATCGTTATTTTGTATAAAATTCTGCATAACTAATACCATGTTTGGTTGACATTTTTCAATTATGCATAAATAATACATGTATAAGTTATGAGTCAATCTGTGTATTATTTTATGCAGGGTAGAAGATGGAATAACTAATACATGTATTAGTAATACATGGATAAAATACTGAAATGACAAATTTACCCCTATCACTTTACACATAAGGCTTCCTTATTTCTTTGCCAACCCGTCAACAGGTTTCACTTGCTTTCACTTGCCAACTATATACCTTGTCTTCTCTCATTTTTAAAGAACAAACTAGCAAAAGCAAACTGGAGAAGCCATTAGAAAATGGAAATATCAAAACTAAGAAGTGAAAATGAAATATGTCTAAACTTCACATAGTTCAGTAGTATGACGAAGAAGTGAAAGTACCCAAAGTTCCTAACTAAATTGTTTCCTACATAAATGGAAAGAGAGAAAAAACAATGCAAAAGAAGGCCAGGGGTATAGTTGTAAACAAGCATTTTACTTTAAAATTTATATAATGTATATCAATTTCTAATACAATAAACCAAACATTCAAAAAAATAATCTCTGCATAACTAATACCTGCATAACTAATCCCTGCATTACTTATCCCTGCATAACTAATCCCTGCATAACTAATACATGTATAACTAATACCTGCATAACTCTAACCGGCAACCAAACGACCCCTTAGGTTTTTGGATGAGTTTAAACAGATTCAATTTGATGCCTCGACCTAGTCGTTTATCAGCACCAGAAATGTTTCTGTAATTAAGTGTAAAACGGATGTAGTTGTCGTTCTTCGCCATCTGCGAATTTTTACTTTGACAAGGTAGTTAATGTGGTATATAGACATCTTGATCTGATTCTTGTATTGGAGAAAACATAAAGCGGAAAAAATGTCATGAGCTTATTATAATCTCAAGATAAACAAGTTCAACTTTCTCGTGCAATTAGAGATTACTGCAGAAAATACATGGCACAGAAAGGAAGCTATCTAAAGAATTCCTTCAATCCACACATCAAATCCATTTCTGGTATATCATTACATTACATTGTAAATAAAAGGCACGATTGGTTGGTTTCCTTACAAATAAGGGAAAGAAAAAGACTACTCAAGTCTCTTCCTCTTACTTTTCCTTGGGTGTTAAAAAGGAAAGAACCAATACATTACCTTTTGACGTGTACATGTTAATATTACAAAAGCAACAAAACAACAATTAAATCCAAAGCAAGCAGGGTCAGCTAGACTAAGTTGTTACTACCATCACCTCTTAACATCAACTTTCTTGTGTTAGCATTTCAAGTTTCTGAAGAAACCAACTGTTTGGCAGGTCGAGAAGGGTGCAGGAAGAGGAAATTAGTTCTATCCTACAGGAAGTAAGATAACTGCTCCTTTTTCCTTGATCCTCCTTCCCCATATAACTCATTCCATTGTTTTAGCTCACTCATTATAGACCCTCCAGCCGCAAAGCTAGCTGCAACCTGTTACATGGAATCAAAATAGTCGCAATGAAATCAAGTAGTGCTAATAACAAATTGTCCCCAGGAAGTTGCAGTCATAAATATACTATCATACTGATGGAGCAAAAGGACACACAAGGTTAAAGGGCAACGTCGGACCTTATCAAGAAGAGCACTCTTTTTTTTTAATGAATGAGCACTCCTTGAGATCTTGTTTTAACTATTATATACTAATATCCATTCTCCAATAGAAATCTCGAAGCTTTTACTGTAGTGACTAGTCTCTCTCTCTCTCTCTCTCTCATGCATATTTTCCTTCTTTTTAAATATTGTGTTTCTTTAGGTTATCATTAGTGGAACTGCTTACTTGATACGCACATCTTTGACATAACAACCATCAATAAGAATTCATTATACAGATGCCACCTGCACTATCGGTAAGCTTCTACACCTTCTGGAATTGACCTTATCCTAGCAATCAGTTTGGCTCTAAAATCGGATCCTTTAACTCAAGACCCAATCTTAACTCTCCCTCCCCACGACTCTATGTTGCAGTTGTTTGGTGTTTAGAAATTGGCAATTTATCACTTTATAACACCTGGAGTTCAATATGTACTCGTCATTGGCAAGTTGGTTCACCTATTTGGTTACTCAAGTTATGTACTTCAAGTTCTCCAATCTTTACCTAGTCAGAGTTGTATCCTTTTGCTCTGTCGTTCATCCTTATTATTCCCCCGTTTCAAATTAGATGAGTTACTTTCCTTTTTAGTCTGTTCCAAAATAAATGACATATTTCTAAATGGAAATGATTCAAGTTTAAACTCTTCATTTTAACCATTTTACCCTTAATGAGAAGCTTTTATAACCATGCAAATGTCATGGCCCCACAAAGTTTTTAGCCCTTAAGCTTTTAAGACCACAAGTTTCAAAATTCTTTTTTTCTCTTAAACTCTGTGCCGAATCAAACTACCTCATCTAAATTGAAATGGAGGGAGTAACATCAATTGATTCCGTATGAAACTTCACCATCTATTCATAAGCTTAAGCTGATTTTGAGAGATTTTCTTTTTACCTGATTTTTGGCTTCTTTGAAGTCTTCCATATTCAAAGGCCGGATAGTGATCACCTTATCCTCCGTATCTTCATCTGCAGGTGGAGCAACTCCAGCACTCTTAGCTTCCTCAGTTCTCCGCTTCTTCTCCTGCAGAAGTGGAAGTTCATTAATAAGAGGGAAACAGTAAATGCAGGAACAAGCAAGAATCAGTTAGAAATATAAACTGGTCAAGGAAGACAAGGCACTTACTAGGTCTTTGAGTCTTTCTTGCTGTATCAACTCTCTAACTGGCCGGTATGCAGCAGTGGTGCACAGATTCTGTCCCAAGCATTGCAAAATATTTTCTTAGTTGGTGAGATTTAAGGAATATGAAAATCAGAAACAAGATATACAACCTTGAGATCACTTCCAGAGTATCCTTCAGTCATTGTTGCCAGCTCCTTGAAGTCCAATCCATCATCAACTTTCTCTTTGGCCAATAATGTCTTCAAGATCAATTCCCTGTTCTCTGTTGACGGTAAACCAACCATAATTCTGCATTTAAGAGGGAGGATGATTACTATTCGACATCTAAAACAGAAAAAGAATGTAGTGTTTAGTACTTTAACACTAAAAACTCTGCCAATGTCAATAACGATATACGAGATATCTAATTCAATACTCATGGAAGATATTATCGCAATGATTCCGGTTCTTAACAAAGCTCAACTTTTTACATAAGCTTATGGAAGCTGGATTTGCCAGTGACATTGATATTCATCCTACTTCAAGTTTAGAAGAAAACTAAATTACATCAGTGGCAGATCAGACGTTACCTTCTCTCAAAACGCCTAATAATTGCTTCGTCAAGGTCAAATGGCCTATTGGTAGCAGCAAGAACAAGAATTCTTTCACCTGCTTTTGTCAGTAATCCATCCCAATGGGTCATGAACTCATTCTTTATTTTCCGCATAGCTTCATGCTCCCCAGCACGAGATCTCTGTCCAAGCATGCTATCAACCTCATCCACAAATATAATAGTGGGAGAGACCTTAGCTGCAAGAGTGAATAAGGCACGGACATTTTTCTCATCTTCTCCAAACCATTTTGAAGTAATTGTAGACATAGAGACATTGATGAAACTTGCTCCAGCTTCACTGGCAATGGCCTTAGCTAACATAGTCTTCCCTGTTCCGGGGGGGCCAAATAGAAGTATTCCTCTGCACGGCTTCAAAAGGCCACCTTTGAATAGGTCCGGTCTCCTCAGAGGCAACATCACCAATTCCTGTAGAGATTCTTTGAGTTCATCCAAGGCACCAATATCAGCAAATGTCACACCAATTTCACTTGCTGGTATGACTTCAGGCCTTATGCGCTTCTCGAATTCATTGTCTGGAGGAACTTCCTGGTATAATAAAAAAAATATTCAGGCTCCTATATTACAGTAAGTTTTAAAAAAGAAGAAGTTGGAAAGCACGTAACATATTCTCCCACATTAACAAATATCATCAGATGCTTCTTGTGATTAACACCTATAAATAGGTGTACCTTGTATTCATCAAATCATTAATTACTTAAATATATTGGTTCTCTTATTTTCTGGCAGAGGGGAACAATCAGAATGCCAACTCACAGGAGCTTTAGGCGTTGAGGTTGATACGTTGCCATCCTTCACCGGTGGAGCAGGAGCTTCAGTTTCACCTTTGCTTTCTGGTAGGATACCTTCAGCTTTGGCTTCTAGTTTTGTAATACTGGTTTCTCGGCCTTGAGCATCCTACAACAAGTGAAAAGAACTCAAACTCTGAACACTACAATTTCAAAATTACGTCAAACTTCTGAAACAGAAACCAAATTTATCCGACCTTCGATGTTTCAGCTTGTGCTTCAAGCTTTAAGGTATCCTTCCCAGAAGATTTTCCTTTCTGAAATACGCCCAATCCATGGGACAAGCTGTTGTTTTTCAAAGTCAGGAATTCAGCAAGATTTTACACTTATCAACATAAAAATGGAGAAAACAGGAGCGTAAGAAGGACCTTGAAGATGAAATAACAAGCTTCCCATTTCTGTATTCAGGGTCCTTTGTGTTCATCAGATGGTACGAGATTGCTGATACCACAATTTCTTCTATATAGTTACTTAGGACTATTGTGTCTGACATACAAATTGAACCTAGATCTTCACATTCAATATCATTAGCAGAAAGTACTTCCATTATGTGATTTCTGTTGTCCTGAAACTGGATCATTTTCATATCCTCTTCTAGCTGAGACTTCCAACTAACAAGATGAGTTTCATCTTCTGGGGGTTTAATTTCAAGGTTATAGGGAAATATTGAGGAAAGCCTTTCATCTATTTCCCTATAATCATTTCCAGGGTCCACAATTCTTGAACCAAGGATTAGAATGGCTCCAGACAATTTCTTCAGCATTTTCTGGAACAACACATATATCTTTTCTGATCTACAAAGGACCTTCTCGACATCCCTTAGATACAGTACTATGGGGCTGCTCTTTGATACTTTGACAAGAACCTGTAAGTGGAGTCAGCAATCTTAGTCCGATGAATATAATAGGGAAAATTCAGGCAATGGCTATAAAGGACCATCTATACTTGATTATTCAAAAACGACTATAAACAAAAATTGTGGGATGTGTATAACTTAAATGAATACCTTGTATAAGGTCTGTATAAGAAGCTTCTCATCAAAAGACCAGCTACTGTTGCGCGTAAGTGGAGCTGTGAAAGAAAAGTAGTTGAAGCTTAAGTGGGTCTATAAATTCTATCTCAAAAAGAATCCTACAAACTCTTCCATGAAAGACCACATTTTTGTCCATTCAGGTGGAGCATAAATCCAGTCTAGGCAGACCCTCAAAGGAAAATAATGAATCACATTCAATCACTGATCGGCAAGTCGAGTCCCAGCTGATAAGCCGGTTAGCATATCTGCCTACTTCAAGGTAAGAATAAGCATTTCATAGTTCTCTAAAGAATCTCATGTGTAAATTAAGAGAAAAATACAGAATTGTTTCATTGGCTTATACTTGCCTTTAAGAACTATAATTATCCACACACAAGGTCTCAGAACCTAACAAAACTCTACCCCTGGGGTTTTGCCATTTAAACAAAAAAGTGGAAGAATTTAAGCCAGCTTAGAGAAGAGAGATTTGGAGAATCAATTACAGTCAAACTGCTTTTTAAGCAAAGTACACCTCCTCACCCCAGAAAAAGGGAAAAAGAGAAGCAAAAAGGACACCCTAGTAGACATATGATGAAACATTAGCTATGTATAACACTATAACATAATGCTTAGGCCACAATTCAAAGGATCAAGACAGTTAAACTAGTTCAGTAAGCTTCAGGAAGAGCAATCTCATGACTGATGCAAGTCAAAACCTGGATTTCCTGATGTGCCATATGAAGTTAAATTATCCAAATTGGCCGAGGCAGATGCATTCCTACGCAAATTTGTAGCTTTTAACAACCCATCTCTGCAAATATCAGGAAAGAACAATCAGAACATGACCGAGAAAAAAAAGGGAAGAAAAAATAAGTGAGTCTAATATATTCAAAGGATAAAAGAGATGTCATACTTTGATCCAACATCTACTCCACTGCTTTGTCTACGCAATGTGCCTGCAGCAATGGATTTACATGCATTTGTAGCAAAAACAAGAAAATGAAGAATAAAGTATGTAGCATCAAATTGCAAAATCTAAGCAGGTAAACCAAAACAATCCACACAAACATACTAAAAGTATCAAGTTGCAAAATCTCAACCCACTTGCACATGCAGTACAAAGAATCATTTAATGCTTCATATTTTGCTTCAAATACTCTATGCTGTTCTACAATTTCCATAAATTTACTTAGACGCGTCTAAAATAAGAAGAAGCTTTACTCGGTGAAGCTAACAAGTGCTCAAAATTCGTTATCAGAAACTTATAATCTACTTTATTTTGTGTCAACATTGCAAAGACTCAGCTTCTTAGGAAACGTGGTTGTTTTGTGGGAAAAAAATGAGAACTTATGATCTAGTTTATTTTGCATCTTCATTGCACAGAACTCCCAGCTTCATAGGAACTCGATATTTTTCTCAGCAGGGGCGATCTAGTTCATACCTTTGTTTTCCTCCTTAGGCTGAAGCATGGAAAAGGATCCAAACATTCCAGACATTCGCCCCAATGTTGTCTCGGATATAGACCTTTTAAAAGACTGCAATAATCAAAGTTATCAACATTCAATACAGATTTTATTTTATGCATCAACATCTTAGTATAAGAAAAAATCAATTTCTGCAGACAGATGGACATGTTCTAGAGGAAAGTTAGCCATAGGAGAAGTGAGAAGATGTAGAGTTTTGACTTACATATTCTTTGCATGCTCCTCCATATTTGCTTTGCATCTGTAGAAGACCCGTCATCAGAATACTTAGCAGATGGAGAAAAAAAAAGGTGAATCCAAGCTCTTTATTCACATACCTTCAGTGAAAAGTCAGTTACATCCAGTAGCAATAACTTGGCATTAAAGTAATGAGCCAATGCCTTGGCAAGCATTTGTTGATAAAGTTCTGGAAAATGTGAAGCATCATGACTAAATAGAAAATGAATGGGTAACAAACGGAAAATTCAAGCCAGATCCAACGTTTGGTATGCAAAAACTAACCAGCAGGCCCTGACAGCAAAATTGTTCGACTAGCAGGGGAGAGGTTGCGAGTATGCTTAGCAAAGTCAGCATTTGTCAAATGAACAAAAGATGCACTTGTCAGCAACACCCTTGTTTGCTCGCTGTCATATGAAAGATTTTTAAAAATCAGTACGTTGCAGCGCTCTTACTAAGTCTCGTCACTCAGAAAATGCCAAAGTGGCAGATATGCAAAGAAGCAAAGCGTCTCCAGAGAGGGGGATGAAAGAAAAGAGTTCTTTGCAATGCCAAAGTTCGACAATGAAGCATAAAGTCCACCCTCTGAGTGCAAATGGAAACCACTCAAAAAAAGGAAAAAAGAGCCTTAACCACACAGCTGATTGTAAAAAGCACTTAATTCGTCCACAACAAACAAGGTCTTGATTGCAAGTACAAATGCTTTTCATTCTATTAAGCAGCAAGTAGAAACATTTTTTATTTTTGTGTGTGTGTGTGTGG